TAATATTTGCTTGGAGTGACTGAATAATCTTTTGATGTATAGATGGATTGAGGAGTTCCTGAGATCTGCATTATTGACAGTTCTAGTGATAGTGAGAGCATGAGGATCCACCATACTGAATTCCTGCACTGCCTTTTTTGTTTGTTAAGTGGTTTCAGAGTAGATATGTGCTTCTGTTATTGTAAATCATTCTGGACTAAGGGTAAGTGCCAAAAAGCACAAGAAAGTAGTCACAGAACCATAGAATATCCTGAGTTGGAAGAGATCCACAGAAATGATCAATTTCTGACTTCACTCAAAATCCAAACCTTATTTATGAGAGTGTTGTCCAAATGCTTCTTGAACTCAGTCATACTAGGTGATATGACTGCTTCTCTGGGGAGCCTGTTCCAATGTTCAGCCACTTTTTGGTGAAGAGCCTTCTCCTGACACTCGACATGAACTTGCCTTTGGGCTCCATAAAAAAGAGGCATCATTTCTTCACTCAGGACAAGAAGTAATGAACTTAAGATGTGACAGGGGAGATTCATGTTGATAGGTTGGATATTAGGAAAAATTTATTCACAAAAAGATTGCTAAGGCATTGGAATAGGTTGTCCAGGGAAGCGGTGAAGTCACTGTCGCTGAGGTTTCCAAGAAATGTGTAGATGTGGCACTTAGGGACATGGTTTAGTGGTCAGGGTGGGGATGGATCAACGGTTGGACTAGAAGATCTTAGTGGTCTTTTCCTTAATGACTATGATTACTCTATGATTATGATTTTGTAATTCATGAGGCCTGGAGAATGGGAAGGGCTTATCAGGATGTTGTTTGTTGTGTCCAAGTTAATGGTGAGGGCAGAGGCTGTGATGCAGACAGCGAATTGGTACTGTTGCCCTGATGTTGTGACAGAAAGCCAAAGTATGCTGGGACATTATCTGTTCATGTCTGCCGCAGGTAGATCCACTTCCGTCAGTTCATCATCTCATGGTGGATTCACCTCTGTGGGCTTCCTGTCCCCTGATGGACTGGTGTATCTTGCCTACTTGCAATTCTCTGGATAACAGTGTGCCTTGGCCATACACCTTTCTCTGTCTGATGGACTCACCTGGGCCTCACGCTGCTTTCTATTGGTTTCATGTTCGTTATCTGTATGTTTCTGGTTTCATGAGCTCTGTCCACTGTTTTTGTGTCTTCTCCAAAGGAACAGCTCCTTCTAAGTTTTTCATTGATCTGCTGCTGTTCTTTGTGCACACTGTAGAGAATCTGACTTTGTCATTAAGCACCAGCTGGGTACCCTTCTCATCCTCAGGCTGAGACAACTCCTCTACCTCCAGAACTCAAGGTCCATAGTAGGTCTCTGAGGGGAGCCTCCTCTTGCCATGGTGCAGCATTCAAAAGAAAAGTAAGTCCACATTTGCCCACTTCCTTGTGAATCTGTGCAGAAGAGATGCCACCTCTTCCAGAGTGGTGAGAACTGGGGATGGGACTGGAAACCATCTTGCAGGTAAGCCTGCTAGAAGTTAATGGATGGACTCCCAGCTAATTCTAGCCTGAAGGCTGCACGGGGAGATGGGCATCTGGACCTCGACAGCACCATTGTGACTGCATTGATGGGAGCCCTGGCATAATAGTTTTCCACACAGGCCAGCTGCGTTGCAGGTGGATCCACCTCCATGGGCTCCGCAGCAGCAGTCACAGCGCGGGTCATTGCTTGAAGGCCATGGGTACACTTCATCCTTCACTTGTTCTTCTCCTCTGCCTCTCTAGTTCTGCAAACCTAGTCTCTTCCTTGCCCCATAAAAATGGGCAACTGTCACTCCAGGTTCTCTTGATTCCAAGCCTGGTTGGATATCATGAGAGATCTGGTAGTTCTGGGAGTGCTGGGCCAGATACAGGGGCTTTTATAAGGCCCCCTGCAAAGAATGGGGCAGTGGTGACTACTGTTACATTAAGAAGCCTCTGATGGCGACTGTGATGGTGGGATTGGTGCTTGACATAGGATGAGGAGGGAGATGGAAAATAAGGTGCACAAGGGGAGGTGGAAGGCAGTCCTTGTGCCCAATGGGCAGCCTATCTCTTTCACAAGCAAAATGGCATGGAGGAGCTGTCCCCCAAAAAAGGGTCTCAGCCACCCTAACCTAAATCAGTCTTGCTCTTCCTTCTTTCAAGAATAGGACAATCTTTGAGGCTTCATTTATATTTACGTGTGTACATTTATATATACATTTCCCAGGGAAAAATAATGTTTTTTTTTTTTTTTTTTTAATAGGTGGCTTTGCTGCCAAAAACTGAGTATATCTGCAGAATAGGGAGCAGCACTTTCACCAACATGAGATTTTATGTGCAAAGCAAGAAGGCTAACCCTGTGTCCTTGGCTGCTTCATGCTGACTTCATAAATGGACTTATATACAGTCCCATCTTTGGGCTTTTCAAAGATATATTGCTGATGCCATGGATTTAAGTTAGATTTGTTAAAGGTCTGCTGGATAGCTTAGCCTTTCAATGTGGGTCTGTGCAGAGTTATTTCTGATGAAGTATTTTCACTTTAAACCTTTTCATTCATGGTGATTTATTACTGTTTTATTTCTAATGTTTATGCCACACATAGTTCCTCAAAGGATCAATTTTTCAGGGCACTCACTGCTGAAGGTACTCTGCATTTGTGAGACGGCACTGAGATTTGGAGTCATGAGGGAGGCATTATAAAATCACAGGCTGGGAGTTTGGTGATGAGTTGCTAAAATGCATCTTTGTGGGAAATGGCTGGATTTATGATACTGTCTTCAGAGATGACAGACCTCCATTTCAAAACTGAATTTCAACAGTTCCAATTATTTACATCACTAATTATAGCAATATTTACAGCTCCTATACAGGATGTTCCTTTCTACTTAAAATTGGCTTAGAGCAATTAAACTCCATTTTTGTCCCTGGCCCAGCCCTGGGAGCACCCCCATGGCCAACAGCCAACACTGTGTGCCATCGGCACTGCCAGGCTGCAACTGGGACACAGGCAGGGTGCAGGGCGTGATGGCTCCCATTATGGCAAATGATGTTGTGCATGTCGGTACACTGGCTAGACACAGTCCTATGAACAGTGAAACATATGCAGCTGTGCTTGGTGTTTTGATTAAGGAATTTGAGAACAGGTTTGAAGATTGCTGAAAAAATCAATCTTTTTGTATATTTGCAAATGCGTTTTCAGTCAACATGTAACTACATTACCTGTGAATTTTCAAATGGATGCATGCAGATATTCAACTGAAAATGTCAGTCATGTTTTATGTTCTTATTGCTTTTTAAAAAAATGTTTTAATGGAAATATATATAAAAAACATTTTGTTACTTAGGTACATCATCTGTGCCATATATTTTATATATGGTCCACAAAAATTCCTTTTCATGCAGCCAAAAGGTTGGAATCCCATGCTGTGGAGACAGAGCACAGGAAAAATGTTCCTTTTCAGTGTTTCAGTGATCATTTACTGCAGTGCTGTATGGATTTGTGTGTGATAGGCCTTTGTAAAAACTTGACTCTCAAGAATGCCATGCTAGAATTTTTCCTAATTAAAATTATATGCATTAAAACTGCATTTAGAGAAAATACAAAGGTTGCAAAAATGCACTTCTAGAATTAGGATGGACAGGACAGGTATTATATAACCTTGTGAAACTTCACTTTTGTGATCTAAGAATATTTTTTCCCTGTATATCACCATCATAACCTTAAAAGTTAGCTGGTCAAATAAGATGAAGCCAACCCTGGATAAAGGGTTTGGTGCATAAGCAACAGGTATTGTGGGTATCAGTTATGTAGAGAACACTGCTATTCATGGAACTGCTTTGCCAAGTGTTGCAAAATTTGTCTGTAGCAAACAAAGCACAGGGCATAGGAAGCAAAGGAAATATGGATAAAGTAGTTGAATTCAGCCATGGAGAGAAAGGTGTTTCAATTTTTTGCTACAGTTTTTTTCCTTGTGACTCAACAGCTGTTCAAGATTTTTCATATTTTGTCTTGTTTCTTCATACACGTAACTTAGGTCTCTAACTTGAACTTTTTCAAGTTTTAGGATTCTGAAATTGGATACCCTGAGACTATTGTTGCTCTCGATGAAGTGCAGATAATGTCATTCCTACTTTCCAAGATGCGATTAGAAGGTTAATGACTGATGAAAGATGTAGAAAAACGCCTGAAGAAAGTAATATCCCTACCCTGATAGTAGGATTTGATTGGTCTGGTACAAAAAAGGATACGACCATGTATAAAATGATCTCTGCTATAGACAGAATAAAGAAGGGGTCCTGTCAAAGGATAATATATGATTACCTGATTAAAGACAATATCCTAATGTATTTGTACAAGAGGGACAAATTGAGCTTATCCAGGCAACTGTTTCCTAACTTCCGAATGCTTGACTTTGCAATCTCCTAAATACTCTTCATGCAGCAATTTTTTTTTTTTTTAACATGTGATTTATGTTACAACTGGGGAAGAGGATGGTAAACTCGTTACGAAAAGAGCCTGAAATGTGAAACTGTACAGTAAAAGACTACAAATTTAGTGATAGCTATTTTTTTGTATATGAAAGTAGTGCTTGCTTGGTACTATGTTGGTATCCAATGTTCTGTAGTTACTGCTTTGAGAATGAGAGATATCTCTGTAGTTGCAGTATGTGTGGAGGTGAGCCTTCTTGGAATCTTAGGGGGCAATTGCCTCAGCAGTGGGAAATTTTGCCCAGTTGCTGTGCTGTCTCTGCTCTTGGATGAGGGAAGGCTTTGCCTTTAAGGGCTGAAAGCACTTTCACAAGTGCTTTATTTACAGTAAGAAAAAAATACACTTGCTAGGGGCGCACTCTGTGAAAAATAAAAACAACCATGTTCTTCTATATTTTCTATTCTGTAGGTAAAATACAAAAGAGACTTTGAAGAAAGCAAAGGAAGAGGGTTCAGTATTGTGACCGATACGCCCGAGTTACAAAGACTGAAAAGGACACAGGAACAAATCAGTAATGTATGTGACTGCCACCTCAAGTGGTTGGAGGTGGAGAAATAGTGTGTCTGAGAAAAGGAGTGTTTGTTGATGTTTCTGATGCAGTCTGTCAGAGTGAAGAATCTGATCTTGGTGAGTGATTTGTGTATGCTAGATTTTGAAGTGTGTGCAACTTTATGCCGTGAACTTGTACAGCACATTGGCAATGTGTGTTCACCTCTCCAGATTTCATCAAGTGTGCTCATAGTACTTTCTATACCAAAATGCTTTTACACTTTTTTTTTTCTTTTTTTTTTCAATAATCTGCTGGGAAATAAGAATACTTCTGTATCTTTGATTTAGATATGTTATACAAATAACATAAACTGCCAAGTGATTTTTTTTTTTTTAGCAGGGGCTGTCGAATCTTAACCTGCAAGATGAAGCTTTCAAAAATCAAATAAAACTTTAATACTGAGTTTTAAAAGAAAATACATGCAGGACAGTGTTCACACGTTGAGAAGGCAATGGCAAATAGAAAACCTTCACCACATGTTTCAGTAGCTTAGAAAGTGAATGCAGAGTGCTTTCAAGAGTGGAATATTTAAAAATAGGACTTTTCCTGAGTTATATTTTCACTGAAAAAGTTTTTTATGTTGTATTCATTTGTAATACACTTAACTCTCTACATGATGGAGGATTGGGTGACACATAGTGCAATTTATGATACATGTAAAGCAGGTAACAACCAGTGTGTACTAGGAACATACAGAATATATACTACTGGTTTTTCCTAATTTCTCTCCAGTTGTTCTGCTTCTACTATAACTTTTCTCTGTGGTTTTTTTTTTTTTTTTCAATTTTTTTTCAAAATTATTTTTAGTGATAAAATGCTAGCATGGTATCAGATTGCAATTATGGTTATGAGAAGAAAATGAAATTTTTTTTTTTTTTTTTTACTTGAAAGAAAAATATTTTTTCAAGTTGGGAAATTATTGGAAAAAACTCACTAAATAATAGGAATTTGTCACAGCAATGGAGATATTCCATTCCTGTTGAAATCTTCACCACTTAAGATTTTGATGTCCAGAGCTGGTCTTTGAGGTGAAAAATTGAGGTTTCATTTCCTGGAGCCTTGGCCATCTGGGAGGGCAGTTAATTTAAGAGCTGTGCAGATGATCCTGTGGGTAGATAAGCTCATATCTTATGTTAATGTTGGGGCCAACTGAAATTTCTGATCTGTGAGACAGAAGGATGCATCCTTCAGAGTGCCAAAAAGCATGGCCATTAAGACTTCAGTTTGGGATCTGGGAAACTTCAGTGAGTCCCTGCTTTTAATCAGCTACATTTTTATTCAGACCAGGAACTTAACTTAGGTCCTCACATGACCTACATGGCTTCTTAGAGCAGAGGTGATTCTTTCGTGTGCAATAGTTCTGGAACACATCAAGGAGATGAAACGAGCAGTGCTCAAATGCTTAATCCCTTGTGTGGAACTGCTCTTTTAGGAAAGGTCAAGAGGGGTACCCTACAACAGGCCTATGGTATTCATTTTTGGATATTGATGAACCAAGAAATTTAATTTAGATCTTCTAAGCCTAGTACCCTCAACATCAGCACTTAGGATGGTATGACACAGCTCACTTACATACTCTTTCTCTTGTTCAAAGCAAATTGGGTTTTCCATTGTTGAAATCTGGAAAATTAAAGCCAAATTCAGGATGTTTTGTGAGATGGGAAACAGTTTTCTCCCCAGCTCTATTTTGGATTGGGATAAGGGATTTACTCTTTTAGCAGAAGACCTTATTGCATAATGCATGATGCTGTCTGGTACTAGAACCAAACATATTTATCTGCCTTTCCAGACCCAGAAATATCTTCCTAAAGGTGAAAACTGTTTTATTTTTTTTTCCTGTTTCAATATTCATCTCTTCTCTTATCATTCCTAACTACCCCAGCCTTAACAATGCCAATTTGTTCCTTCCAGTCTTAACACAGAGTTGTTTTATTTTCTTGATGTGTATAGATGACACAGATTTTAAGTCACGGACTTTATTAGAAATAATTAATCTAGATACAATGGAATTTAAAAATGTGCATTATAAAGGAAATTGCATTTTCTTTACATTTCTTTAAATTAATCTCATTTGATTTATAGCCTTACATCCTAGAAAGACAATTCTGCGTTGACCACAACTTGAATCTAATTAGCAAATTCCTGTAGTATAGAAATGCATTCCACACAGAGTAGCTTTTATATTTAGCAGGTAAACAGTATACATCATGGACTAAGGATCTAAATAAGAGTACAAGACATTGAGAGGTAAGCAGTTTAATAATTTTAAAATAATTTTTCTTTTTATGTGTAGCAAAATGGAAGAATGCTAATATGTATATATATTTAATTTTCAGTTTTGTTTTGATTTCATCTTGAAGTATTAGAAAGTTCTCAAAGAGCCTATTTGAAACAAAATTGTAGCCGCTGCCTTGAGGGGTAAGTGCTTAGCTATTTTTGATGAAAATAAATAACAATGATAGGTATTATCTAGTGAAAACCTTTTTAAAATATTGTCTTTTGCTGTGGTAATAAGTTTTGAAAGGTAGATTAAAACTAATGTAGCGCTCTGATCTTTGAAAGAATATCTTATGCTATCAATATAAAGCCTATGATAGAGAAGAGAGCAGGGGGAGTGGAAGGAGAGTGGACTGATGGAGGGAGGTTGGAGTTCACTTGCTATTTTGCCGCCAGCAATATGACTTCTGAAGACTTAGCCCAAACTAATGGAATTTGTTTCATAGCATGATGGATATATCAGAAACAGAATGGGATTTTTTGGAAAAGAAAGAAATGTACTCTCATGTTTCTTATTCTTTTTAGCATTAGAAGCCTAATTATGTGGATGTATAGCATGCTTGTTAGAATCACAAAGCCTCTCTAGGACTTTCAGGATCAGCTACTGCAATCTACAGCTGTTGCAGCTTAGTAGTGAGCTAGCTTGAGAGGTGTAAGCCAGGCATACAAGCACGCTAGTCTTGACTGATATAGAGAATGCTACATAAACTAAGCAGCTTTTTTTACTGATGAGTTTGTAGGACTTCCTTTCTATGGCTGAGCAGGGATTTTAAAAAAGGAAAACATTATATTAATTAATGTATGTGAAAATGCTTATAGTTTACAGTATGTTTTCTTTGTCCCCAAATATTTCAAATATAAGGTTTTCATCACTTCTGCTGCAAATGAAGTTTCTTGGCACTGAATACAAACAAAATGTTGACGTGTTAATATAAACAAAACTTATGCTGTTCATGTAGGGAAATGGACTTTGTTAAAAACCTAGGGGTATTATTTGTCTATTTAGAACTTTGAGATATAGGATTTTGATTATGAATGCAAGTATTCTCAAGATTAAAAAAAAACAAAACAAAACAAAATGTATTTTGATAGGTGATTTTGCTGATAGGCTAACTGTAAACTGATCTTCCAGGTTAACGTGGTAAAATAACAGAATAATTAAAGATGGCAAAAATCTATTTATTGATCTCTCATAACACATGGCTAAATGAAGAAGTAGGCGCTCAATCTAATAATCTTTCCTTTGGGGAAATTAAACACTTAAAACAGTTCACCGCAATGAGCTGCAACTTATACTTTTATGTTCAGCTGTATGGTTTGAAGCCTGTTTTATACTTTGTGATAAAATCTTAAATCTGTTCCTGGTAAATCTTTGTACAGTGTACAGCAAAGCAAAGGTCCATAGAAGTTGAGGTGATGTGAAGTTTTCACTAAGATACAGGCCGGTTCTTGAATAGCAGTCTTGTTAGATTGTATTATTGGAAGGGTACATGGAAGCCTTCATAGGGGTTGTCCTCATTACACTGAGTCCCTATATAGGCATTTCTCACTTCCCCTTTCATGCTAATATGACCTTAAATCATGTGGAAGCAAGTAGCAAGCAGCTTATGTCTGTGCCCTTTTTGCATATGAGGAAGATAGCAAAATTTGCAAAATGTGGTCTTGCAATTTCTTTATATGTAAGTTTCCAGTAGGTATAAATTATATGTAAAACTGGAAACTGTGCCTTAGGGTAAAAAAGGAATATAAGAAAACAGATCAGATTTAGTTTACAAAGCGTATTTCTAAGGTATTCCACTTTGGTTAAGACCTTATATGAAAATGGAACATCCTTATCAAAGAGAAGATAATTTTATCATTCCTCTATGTAGACGGAGATGAGCTCTGCACTGATGTTAGTGAACCCAAGTACAATTGATTTTGTTAAAGCTGCAAATACAGCCAACTAGTTTTATTTAGACATCGTAATTCCAAAGAGTAAAATAACAGAACTCTTTGATTATTTGTATGAAAATAATTTCAAACATTAAATTAGAATACAATTGAATTGTAGTGTAAAATTCCATTTTTCTTAGGTATATATGTTTTGATGATATTCAGTAGAATTTTGCAAATGAAAATCTTGTAACATTCTTAAAGGCAGCTTGTGAATTTGAATATGAGAGATTGCAATGCTACATATTCACTGTCTTTGATTTTGAAATGTTGCATGCTTTAATTTTTTTTTTTTTTTTTTATATTAAGCGTTAACTGCCTTCAGTTGAATTTATACAGCTTCAAGGGAGGTGATGGAGGACCAAATATCTTTTTTTTTTGGAAAAAAGACATGAAGAAAAAGAATTGCCCATGGCCTCAGATGTGGTGCAAATGTATATGCGTATATATATGTGTGTATATATATATATATACATGTATAAAACCAAAGGAGGAATTAAAGTCATATTACTACTGTACTTGTGCACTTCTGCACATCTGTAATTAGAAACTGGTCTTAACAGATATTGAGACATAGCTCCATTTTTGGAATGTATTGGCACAATTGATCAACCAGTTTACTTGCTCAAATGTAAGGCTGTCTCTCAAACTGCCAAAACAGACTGTAGAGAAAATTGGCAGAAGATGCTGTGAACAAGGCCTGGAGTTTCATTTATAGTATTCATGGTGTAATGCCTGCAGATACTTGTTTCTAAGGACTTTTCCCCTGCATTGAACTCAAGTGAAGAATAGCATGAAAGGAAACAAGAAAAATTGATTGCAACATGAATGTCTACATTTCACAAAGCCAACCATGGCACATCAACAAAGAGACTGGGTAAGAATGTTAAACTGCAACACAGAAAGAGATTATATTATTTTAGTGCTGGGATTTTCAGTACTTCTGATGTGATTCATACTGATCTGACTGTCTCTACATTACTAAGCATGATTTTTGTTGTTTCATTTATAAAATATGCATATGATCATATATGACAACTGTATCTTTCTACATAACAGGAGTAGCAGTTTATGAACTGCTGCATGCATGAAACAGACATGCAAAACTCAGCTCACAACGGTGCTGATTGTCTTCTTCCCTTGACAGTTTAATGCAACTTAAAGAGCTATTAATTACTTGGTGGGTTTTTGGTTTAATTCCACACAACTGCATTTCAAATATGCTGCCTGTAACTCATGTAATGAAACAAATCACACTTGTATTCAACCACTTTTTTTTCTGATTGGAAGATAGGAGGTTGAATATGTAATTCCTATTCCTAATATAAGTGTACCTCTGTAAGAAGATGGAACTTCTACTGTGCTCTTATGCAGTAAAACATACATGTACAGAGTCATTTCCAACCTTGTCCCAGTTCTGGGTTCCTCTTCTAGTCTTGCTTTTTATATATGTATACAGAGACTCTGAGAAGCCCACTTGTCTTTCGGCTTTCTGCTACTTTTGTGTTGAAGTATTTTGACTTCTTATTAATGCAGAGTCCTGATAAATGCTTTGGAAACGACTTAGAAAATGAATCACATTAATTTTAGATGACAATGAATATTTGCTGCAAACAGATTCTTATGTAGCTTCAAATACTCTGTAACTTTCAGAAATTTGTATGGTGACGGAACACATTACAGAATCACAGAATGGCCCAGGTTGGAAGGGACCTCAAGGATCATGAATCTCCAATCTTCCTGCCACAGGTAGGGCCATCAACCAGCAACCTCCCCATTTAAAACTAGACCAGGCTGCCCAGGGCCCCATCCAACCTGGCTTTGAACACCTTCAAGGACGGGGCATCCATAGCCTCTCTGGGCAGCCTCACCAGCGCCTCACCATTCTCATAGTAAAGAACTTCTCCCGGACATCCAAACTAAATCTTCCCTTCCTCGACTTGAAACCATTTCCCCATGTCCTGCTGAAATTTACCCTTTCAAAGAGTTGACTCCTCTCCTGTTTATAGGCTCCCTTTATATACTGAAAGGCTGCAATGAAGTCACCCTGCAGCCTTCTTTTCTCCAGGCTGAACAAGCCCAGCTCCCTCAGCCTGTCTTCGCTGGGGAGGTGCTCCAGCTCCCAGATCACCTTTATGGCTCTTTTCTGGACTCTCTCTAACAGCTCTCTGTCTTTCTTGTACTGGGGGCTCCAGACCTGGACGCAGTGTTCCAGATGGAGCCTCACAAGAGCTGAGTAGAGGGGGACAATCACCTCCCTGTCCCTGCTGGCCACCCCTCTTCTGATGGAGCCCAGGATACCATTTGCTTTCCGAGCCGCAAGGGCACACTGCTGGCTCATGTTAAGTTTTTCATCCATCAGGACCCGCAGGTCCTTCTCCGCAGGGCTGCTCTCAAGGACCACTCCTTCCAGTCTGTATGGATGCCTGGGATTCCTCTGGCCCAAGTGCAAAACCTTGCACTTTGCTGTGTTGAACCTCATTAGGTTCACCTTGGCCCACCTTTCATATCTGTTTAGACAGAAATTATGCTAAGTGATCAGCTGGAGACATTTGAGGATGCTTTTCAAACTTCAGTGTATATTCAACTTAATAATTCTATGATTCTATGAAAAAATCTTTAATAATTATTATTATTATATAAAAGTATTATTGAAGTTAGGAAAATACTATATTAAATCAGCTCCTGTATTCTTTTTGTAATTCCTGTATTCTTTTTGTAATTCTTTTCCTACATTTTCAGTAAAAGATCAAATTATATAATGGCCTCTTGCTCTCTTCACTTCTTCCTACTTTGTTCTGAATGTAGAGTAGTCAACAAGCATTCATCCTTGTGATACTTTTTCATTTATTATATTTTTACTGTGCCAGATAATATCCTTTACACCATAAAATGTTCCGGTGAGAACAACCAGTAGCTTCCTTCTGGACTTTTCCTTAAAGCTTCTTTCTCACTTCTTTACTGTATGGAATCAAATTATTTTCAGTATATTTTAAGAAATGGGAAGATGTTGGAATGCTCTTTTATGCAGCTTTATTTACATAAAGAACTAAACCATAAAGTATTCACATTTAACCAGTGAGTGGTCCCAGAGTAAACCCTTGTCTTCTATTTTGGCTGTCCATTAGAGGCAGAGAGAGGCACACCTTTGCTAAGGAATTTTACAGCTATTTACTGGAAAGGAGGGAATCATTGAGAATCTGGAGCAGTGTGGTACTGTTGCACCAGAGTGACACTGACTTCTTTCACTGTCCACATGCCCTTCTCCCAGTCTCCCAGTTTTCTTAATCCCTGTGATGTGTATGACAATAAATCCAAACACATGGGAAAAAAAAAAGTAATTTTTTGACTCTAAAATGCCAAGATGAAGAATACTTTTTGGATGGTCATCTACTCACTACAGTAATTGTGTAGGGATCTGTCAGTACAGGTAGAATTGAATAATGTAGCAAACAGGAAAATTTGCAGGAGTAAGTCACATTAGGTCGTATTCCATGGGTGTAGTAAAGCCAGTATCCATCCATAACAAGGTGATGCTCTTCACCTGCTAAAGATCAGCTACCTGGTTCAGAGCAGGAAAAGCTTTAGAATGTATCAGTAACATGTTGAAAGATGACTTATTTTATGACACAAATGGAAAGATGCATAACTCTTCAACAGAAAGAACGGGAGGATTTTTACCAATCAGTACCTGGAAAACAGAATTGTGCCCAAGAGAGGCAACTGTATTTGGAAAAGCTGTTAGTGTTAAAAGCAGGAATTTATAATGGTCATCAGTGGATAGTTTCAGCTATTATATCCCAAACTGCCTGTAAAAGCATTAGGTGTGCAAATTCAGATGGGTGTTTGGGTAAGTCCATTGAAATATTAAACCCAAATGTATAGTGAACTTATGGTAAGCTACAAATATGTGAAAAAAACCCACCTCTGTATCATCAGATTGTCTAAAATGGAACTGCTTGGCTGTTAGAGCTGAGTATTTGGGCTTGAATGGCATGTGATTTCTCCTGGAGAAAGATCTCTTTCAACAGCTCAACAGTGAGCAGTGAAAACTGCTCAAAGAATCCTCTCAACTGTGAGGCTGAAACTGTCCTTAGAGATGTGAGAGGAAATATTTTAGCTTAAGTGGATCTGTGGTAGTTGAAGGAAGCAGATGTGACACTCTTATAGGTCCTTTTAAAATAATCTTATTCCATCTGGCTTTGTTCTTAGACTCGATCAGAAAAAAAACATTTTCACTCTATTTAAAAATAAGGTTTTTTTTAATGGATAGTAATGCTTTATGATTATTTTTTTTCCCTGCGGTTTCAGAAGTCTTATATTAAAAAGAAATTAATGTTAATATTCCTTATTTTCTTCTGTATCACTGTTTTCATATGAAATTAAGTGACTGCAAAAACTGTTGAGCTTTATGAAGCGTTAAAATATATCCCAAAGTTTCTAAAAGTTTTCAGTGATGTTCCAACAGAGAATAGAATAGTCTTTCTGATTCTATTTCAATTTCTAATTGAAATAAATAAAACTGACAGAATGACTGTAACCTTGCTAACTGTATTGACAGTATAAATGGAGTTGTGTGGTGGAAATAAAACAAACCATCTAGAGATGTACCTAAAGGTTAGCATTTAATAAATAGAAGCTTAGAATTTAATAAATTACTGTTTAAATGGATCAACTCATGCATGAGAAATGAATGCTAGTTGTAAATTGGATGCAAACCTGTAGACTTTAAGGGGAATTGAATGAACTGGTCATCTAAATTTCTTGATAGAGATGTTCTGATATGTTTTCCCTTTTGAAAAACAGCAACAAAAGTAAGTATTACAGAGAAATAATTAAAACACGTTTGTGTTAGGTTAGAACTGTGTCATTCAAGTTCAGAACTTCTTTGAAGTCATTGTATTCATTTATGTCACTGGCACTAGTAAATTTTACTTTTATATTGTTAAACCTGTATTTGGTTACACCTGTGTTTGAGTTGATGGGATGCATACACATCCATACATAAGATGCACTTTAATTTAGAGTGGTCTCCAATCTAGAAGAATACCTCTTGGGCTTTTTCTGTTTAAAATAATAATAAAAAAGAAGTATGTAGTTTGTTTTACCTTCTTTTTATGATATAATATTCAGATTAAGTAGCAGGGCAAATTTCTTATGAAAAACATCAGCAATTTAAGAAATAATTAAATAATGTTCAAATATATAGTGCAGTGTTTAATGAATTTCATTTTAATCCATGGCAATTACTGTTTCTTGTCAGCAGATGCAGAAGTAAAACCTTACGTTAATATGCACTTACTGAACATCCTAATTGGAGTCTAAAACAGCTATGTAAGTATAAGCACGGAATTGACAGTTAATTTCTTTTCACATTTTGCTCCAGTATTGACTAGCACATGCACTGCTTTGTACTGCAGTTTATGCAACAACAAAAAAATCAGTTTGTAATGAAGATAGATATAAAAAGTGTTCTTTAGCAACTGTTGTAAGCATCAATCTCTTATCTGACTGAAGTGTTTTTGTCTTAAAATGCAGGTGACTTCAAGACTTGGTTTATTTGGAAGGTTTCTGATGTTTAAATGTATGGTTTTGGCTTTTTCTTTTATGGTACTATGCAAGTAAACAATTATGATCTCTCCTTCCCCCAGGTTTTTTCCAATGTCACTTGAATATATTTAAGCAATATCAAAATCACTCATTATTTTTAATGAGAATGTATTTTTGAAGCCCTTGTTTTACATACAGTAAAAAGAAAATGAAATAAAATGTCCTTCCACAGTAACTCAACTTGGGAGCTAATTAAGTTTTTAGAATGCCAAAAAATTAATTAGCCCAGAATTTGAACATCAGGACTTAGTAACTCCAGACATCCTTGAGTAGTTAAGTGCTTGTAAGGAAAAGACAATTCCTAATTTCCTCGTTTTCCTATGTTGTCCATTTCATTGCAGCTTTTAATTCAGCCTTATCTGATGTTTTTGTACTGCGCATCAGTTGCTAAGGCAGCATCTTATGCAGTAAACCTCCCGCTGAAGAACAAGATGCTCTACTTCTTCTAAAGCTAATACCATCTTTAATCTTGATCCCTGGAGATTTGAATGTCTCACCCCTGCTCACAGACTTCATTGACCTTGACAGCAGGGGAATCTGGTCCTCTGTGGCACTCAGTTATTTTTTTACATGTTAACACATGTGTCTGTGATTTCCTTAGGCTGTCAGTAGTTGCATTAGTTGTGACAAAGCCAGCACTGTAGTAAGTGTAATGATTAAACTTTTTAACAATCCTGACACAAGAGAGGAAGTAGACAAAGTTTGCATGTGACATTTCTGCTTATGTCTACAGAGATCACAGAGACTGAGTTTACTTTTCCAAAAAACAGATTAGACTATCACAGTATTGCTTTCTAACTGTTTCAGTTCTGTTCAAATAATGGCTTAGTTTCAGAAATGTTTGTTTACTCCTTTTTAAGTTCTTTCTCTGTCTTATGCCGATTTACTCCTCCTGTTAGCAACCACAGTATTTTAATGTAAATCTTTTAAGTATTTTTTCAGATCAGCCTTGAGTTATTTTTTTTCCTCCTTTCTTTTCAGATTTAGTAAGTTAGTAAGCTTGTGTGGCTAAATACTGGCTGTTGGGGAAGACCATTCTGAAGAAAATGATATTTGAATGGTGATTATCTTGAACTTCAAAGCTGGTTGTCTTCAGCCTTACTGAGCCTCAGTCCTGCTGCCCCTGCTTTGTATCTGTCCTTCCTTTCTCCATTAGAGAATGATGGCATAAATAGAAACCCTAATCATTTTGGCCAGTCCAACCCTTTTCCAGCCTTAAGAAGTGAAGTACGCTTCAAAGTCATGTCTTTGGTGATGTTAACTTTTTTTTTTAAATAGAATTTGGCATAATAGGGTAACAGTTCCCAATTTCCAGAAAATGAGTAGGTATATGGTTGAGAAGAATAGTGGGGTTGGTGTGAGTTTTGGCACAACAGGTTTGATCTTTGAGGAAGAAGGAAGATTGGAATATGAGGAAGCTTTGGTAAGATCCACCGTGTACATCAGGGCAAGATATAAGTGTCTTCAGGGCTGTTACTCAGTGTACTGAGCAGAGCTGGAGCCATTTGGTAGCACTGTTCCTACTGGCACCACTAATAGGAAATTAAGGAGTCAGGGAACCTGAGAAGGTGTATCCAGCTCACCTCATGTTTTCTTGTCTGCTCAGCAGGAAGACTTGCTCTGATGTGGGCTGGGTTACCCTTGTCTTCAGTGCTGTGAGCACAAGGGAAATGACCAAAAGGTTTCTTTACCTGTACAGAGAGGGCTGTAGATATAAGCAGGGCAAGAGCAGCAGGCATGGAATGAGGTCACTTGTTTGGCATTACCTTTTGTTTAACATTCCTTTCTGTGCAGCATGTGGTTCTGGCTCAGATAATAGCTGGCAAGCTGTCTTGAGTTGAGAAATTATTAGCAGTTGGGTTCCTTTTCATCAGAAAATTACGAGTTTATGGTGGAAAGGCTTAAAAAAGCTTGGTGGTGATAGAAAATTTTGCAGAATTATTGGCTCTGAAGATTATGGCAAAAGATATGAAAGGCTCAGTGTTGAGGGATTGAAGATTAAACAATTGGTGTGTCTCAAAAAGGGGTAGCTACTGAGAAATCACAAAAGAAAATTAAACTTTCTGTATGAACAAAAAGCCAAGTGGGATATGCATATGAAGTAACAGGTAGCATGGAACAGGAAAGGAGAATTTGATTCTTTACTCTGTCTTAAAAGGTAAGAGTGAGGAATGTGGAGAGTAATTTTCAGGCATTGTGTTTGAAAGAAAAACATGACTTCTCTCATGACATCTGATTTCTCTTCTGGTCTTTCCATTACTTTCTGTTATGGACTGGAAAGCCTTTTTGAGCCCTGAACGACAGTTTTTTGAAGAGATGACTGAGATGCAAATGTAACTGGGATATGACAGATAGTCCTTTCCTATGTAGATCTTATTGGTGTTATTTTTTGAGTGTTATTAAGGTATTTGGAAACTAGCCAAGACATAGTAAGACTGGGTGGAGGTGAAGGCTGCTAGGTATTTAAAGGTATTAAGAGCCTTTTAAAGCAAAGAATAACCATCAGTGTTCTCACACAGCCACTTCAGTTAACTGATCAGATATTCAAGAGTAAGATGGCATTTTAGCTTTGTCTGGAAGTGTGATTTTCAAGTGTATTCCCTAATTAGAGCATACAAAATGGAGCAATTACAACTGAAACTAAACTGAGTGATACGCTCTAGCTGTTAGAGCATATATAGTCCCTCAGACCAGACTTGAGGAATTCCATAGCTACTCCCATCTCCCATAGAATATGGAGTTTATGCACTCAGCACCAACTGTTTTATTCTACGTCTGCCCCTTTTATGCTGCAATACTTGCTAATGAAAACATTTCTTATGTTATCCTAGCTAGGAACTAGTTGTCACTTCAGTGCTGCATTCCTGTTGGACTCTAAAGTGATACTGACTATAACTACAGGCTTTAAAATTCAGAAAGTGAAAGGGTGGAAGAACTGGATCCTGAAAATCAGATTGTTGCATGACCTCTGTTTGCCCTTTCAAGGGGTCACTGAGGCTTGTCTGGACTGTGCAGTAAACTTGTAATTTATGTTTGTGGAGAATGTCAGGAAGAAGATTCATGTCTGGATGTGCAGGTGCTCCATTAAGATTTAGAAAGACATGAATTGATTAGGTGGTTATTGCCACATGCAAAATTAGCCTGGTCAGAGACCCCTAACAAGGAAGCTTGGTGCACAACTAGAGCACCAGACTGCAGCTGATAGAGCCTCAAAATGTTAATGGTATGTAACTCAGATAACTTTGGAAATGAATAGGTTTTTGCTCACACACCTCTGATATTCTAGGCCAAAACTTTTAGGGATGACATGCTGCATTAACTACATGTAAGAACTGACAGTATCTAATCAGGTTATATCTTATGCTGCTTGTTTGTTAGTTTCTCTTAGACGTGATTTAATGCAGGGGTCAACCAATACTACTTTGTACTAAGACTGCAGTACTTCTGGATTTGAGAAGTCTGCTATTTATTTCTATCTAACTTTGCTGATGACATTCCTTGTTACCTGTGGCAATTTGCATCACTTCTGGTTCCCTTTGTACATAATGTGGATAATGATACTGAGGGCCTTTAGGAAACTGTTTCAAGTTCTAATGACAGTGATGAAACAGATGATTAGTGTAGCTGCTGGTTGTTATTGTTTATATATGCAGATTTTGAGAGGCAGTACAAGAGTGGGTGTCTTGAGTCATCAGCTCTAGTTCTCTCTCTTGCAGGCAAGTATGTCATGCAAACTTCTTAACACATTTGCCAAACTCCAAATCCACCTTTTTTTTTTTTTTTAACATTGTTTTCTCACTTTGCTTAATGGAAGGTAAAAGCCACAGTCCAATTTCCACAATAAATTCATGGCAAGAATATGTCTATTCATATGCTAAAGCTGTCTTTTTTTTGCATGCCACATCTATCTCCCATACATACCTAGTGAGAGGTGCAATTCTCAGACTTTGCTATATGATGCTGAGCAAGTAAGCAGTCTTGATGTGCCCTTGCAGAAGTCTTGCTGTTCCACAAGGTCCCACTTCTGCCTTTTTTTATGGGAGCTCAACTCTTTTGAGCACAGAAAACCAGAATGATTTTCATAGTATTGTAAGAGAGATTTTAAATATACTTTGTCCTGATTCATTTTAGTGTTATATTTGCTTTTCCTTGTGGCCGTGGTGGTGTCACATAGTCATTGCATGGTTGTTCCAGATACACATACATGCCACTTTCCAACTATTAAATTTGTATCTTGCAATTTAAATGCTCCGAAGAACATATTTTTGTATTGAGTAATATTAAATCCTGACCTATTATTCCAGATATCACATTCAGTCATTTTTATCCCATGAAGTCCTAACTGTCTTGGCAGCTACTACCTCCTTCCTAGGCTTTTTATGTGGGTTTGAGCAACAGAGTACTTGATTCAGATTGGTGGTAAAAAATTTCTGGTAAAAAAAAAAAAAAAAATTGTGGTAAAAAAAAGTTCTTCTCAATGGAGTCACAAAAAACAAAACAAAACAAAAATGAGAGAGAGAGAAAAAAAATTATTCCTGAACAGAGACAAATATTATGTGCAGAGTGGTTCTATCAGTTCCCCAAATAAAAACGATTATTTGGACAAAAGCACTTTTCCTGATGTGAGCAGGGAGGATTTTGCTGGAATTAAAATGCTGAAAAACAAGTAACATTTTTAGATTAAGACAACCTCCAAACGATGTTCTTTATTTGGAAGGAAGATCGTCCATCCAGGTCGCTCCATCTCATTTCTCTCTTTTTGGTTCAGCTCTCTGGAAGCTGGGCTTGCTGTAACAATCTTGCTGTTGCTGCTGCTGTAAGTGAAAATCTATGGAGCTCAGCTTCTTGATATCAGAATATAAAAGTACTAAAATAGGAAAACAGCTTCTCAAGAACGGAAGCAAAGAAGTTCAGCTACTCATTGAATTTCTGGTAATTTATTCTTTTTTTCTGAGTTTGATTGTAGTTGTGATGCTTCACTAGTGAGTTTAAAGATATTAAAGGTATATTTTTGAGATGTTTGTGCTAAAAAGACTCAAAGCAGTACAACCGTATTGTCTCTTTTCCCATTCTGCAAGGTGAGCTGACAAGGATCCTAAAGCCTGCTAAATACATTCTTGTTTTTTTCCTTTTCAGTGTAAGCTACAAGCATAGAGTTCAGGCATTACAGAATTTGAATGGCTATATAATAGATTCCTTGAATAATGGGAAAGATGTTGGAAGTCTTAGGAGAACACAGAAAATACCAGTGGGAAGCTTTTTTTTGCAAAGATTTTCAGTCCTTCACTCAATATAACAAATGAATATTGAGAAAAAAAGATCATGCACAAATATAAGCTCTGTCAAATTTCCTGTTGGTTTCATACAACTTCCTATAAAGTGCAGGTACTTGTATTTTTTTCTTGATGTGAATACATGAAACTGTATAAAATTTTGAAGTCATAGAACTCGTTAAAATTCTGTCATTATTGATAATTATACTAATGGCCATGTAACTATGGACATTAATATAGTTCTTGCATTTGACCAGTTGTAGTAAGAACTTCCTGAAAACCTTTTGCTTTGAGAAGTCCTGACATTTCACAAATGCTTTTGCTGCAATGGCAGTGCCAATATACTGAGCCTTTCAGTTATTCATAATAAGCCTTTTTCTGTGCTCAGAATATGTGATATTCTATTGTTTCAGGTACTCATTTTGGATCTATGTTGTTATGCCTATGTATCTCCCACTGAAATAATTTTACTTAGCAAGCGTATTTTTCATGGAGAAGGAAGCAGGAAACAGGAGGAAGGGAAAGTGAGAAATCAGAGTAGTTAACACCCAGTTGGTAGGAGCCACAGCAGAAGTCAGATCTGAGTCCCTGTTTTGCCTGAAAAACTTGAACACAGGTCTTGCTATGTACATTATTCATTAAGTGAATTATTCAGTGAAGTTATTAATTAATTCTATACACATTTTTATGGAAATCACACAGAAGTTCTCAATTTTAGAGGTAAATAATGTGCTGAGCATCCTTTTCAGTCCTACTAGATAAACAGTCAGTTAAATTGGTCTGGATTCACATGCAGAATGTGAACATATGTCAGAGACACTTGGGTCTGATATATTAGCTGTAACTTAATGTGCTGGAAGTTGTTCCTGTAAACTACGGAGGCTCCATGGTCAGAAACTGGGTTTCAGGAACCTTCAGTGCTTCTTGGTTGCTCTCTCGGCTAGGAGATAGCCATTGTTGTTCATTTTTGTATAGAGTATTTTATCTTTCATTTTGTGGTTCAGCATTTGTGAAGGAGCAGAAATCCTGATGCTCTGGATCTGGTGGTTCCTCCCAGTTAGCCAGTACTCAATAGCTGTGTCATAATTGCTTGTGATCAGTATTTGTTCTTATAGGCTAGCACTCTGTAGAGTCCCAGTGAAGGACCACAGCTTGAAATCTCATTGTCTTCCATATCTTTTACAGTTGAGATCTGATATTTGACTATTCTACCAGACTGAAGTCACCCATCTCCTTGTCTTGTCCAACTCCACCACCTCCTGGAAAACACATTGAGCTTGTATGTGTCTTCTATTCTGCTGATACCTAGTAGAAGACAAGAAATCACAGCTTGTCCTCAAAGAGAAGCTGTTTTTTGTGATTTTAACTCTATCCAAACTATGGATGGGATATGGAATGATCTGGAAGGAAGTGGTGTAACTTCCTGCTGAGACCTGAACTGTGGATACCTATGGACAATTTTGCCAATGAGATGTACTGATGTGCCTGGAGCTGTAATACCTTTTTCTTTTACCTGGGCTTGTCCTCTGACAGCTCCATGAGTGGTGGCATTCCCCTGAGATTTTCTCCACCCATCTCAATGGTGTGGGATGTGTAAGGATGGAATTCATCTCATGTAAGTTTGTTATTTTCATTTAAAAAATACCATACAACTTATTAGCAGAATTTCATTCTTATTGGTCTAGTGAAGCAGTAAATCTGCATACTTGTTCCAAAGACTTTATTTGTCAGGGTGAAGGAGACCAAACCTCTTGGTAGGTCTCTGTGACCAGACCCAAATGCCCTGCCAGATTATCATTGTGAAGGGAAATCCTTTAGCTTTTGTGCAAGCCAGAATATGAGTGGACATTCTGATAGTCTTTTTGCTCCAACTTACCTTGTTGTACATTGCAGTGCATTGCTGAGTGGGGCCTAAGTTGTTTCATCTGCTGTGTTCATTTTGGCTATAATTTTTTTAGGGTCATATTAAAATTATATTTCAGTGACCTGGTAGTAATTTGAATCTGTTTGCCTTTGCTTTGTGCTGTAGCTATATTCTAGCAAATTATTCGTAATATTTACTATGGCAACTTCTTAACATTTTTAGATTTTCTTGCCTTGAAACATAAGGACTGTTGGATCGATGTACTAAAGTTTGTATCTTGCCTGACAATGGGAAACATGGTTCGCTTTATTCTATTGCAGTTAAGGATACTTCACTACACACAGACATATTTTTAATCACTAAACAAAGTTTATTTATGTGAGAGTCATTGTTCCAAAACGCCTTGGCAACTTACAGTCACTTACAGATAATAGCTTTCTGAATGCAAACTGAAAGTGGTGTTCTGAGTTATTGCTTACTGAAATGATGGTTTGTGAGTACTCCTTAATCTTTTAAAACCATATTTCTTATTAGTATCCTGACAGTCTTGTTCTTGCATATGGTTTTGCCAACATTTCTGCTTTGACTGTGCTTTCCTGCACAGATGTATTCCATACTTCTGCCTCATACATATGTAGCTTTGGCAGGTTGGTTAGAAATAGTCTTATGTCAGCATGAGGAAATCAAAGCTTTTTAAATGCTCCCTCCTCCCACCCCAATTTTCTGGCTCAGTCTATGTTCATTAAATTTTGCTGGAATTCTATTACTGAAAGGTAATATTAGATAATGATGATATTAATCCCCTTCTCTGCTGCTTTGTGGTGACCTGCTTGACAGAGTGTGAAAAAGGAGCTTTAATAAGTTAATGTTATTAATAAAAGTACTAATAGCCAAGTTGGTGTCTTGAAAAACAATTCAAAAAACACATATTTTCTTCTAGGAAGTCTTTTTTAATGTGGAGTCCACTAGCAGGTCATGTATGTCGAGCAAACAACAGATTAATTTTCCTTTGCAGAAAATTTCCTTTTAGCTTCGCTTTGAAAATGCACCTTAAGATTAAAGACATTGATAATGTGAGAGTTTTCTGGGTAGTGAGAAATCTGTGATATGTTTTCAAAAAGCACTATTCATTTTTGCCTATGAAAGTCCTTCGTGTCAGTATCTGCGCACAAAAATACCTCTCATGTAAACTGTTGAGTGGATTGTATGTAAGGCTGTGCAGAAGGGATGTGTGAACAAAGCATAATTCATCAATTTTTCTGTTGTAACTGTCTGCGTTCTTCCTTCTGACACTTTGTTTCCTTCTTAAAGGAAAATGAGGTCATTCAAGGTAAGCTAGTCCTAGATTGGAGGCATAGAGGATCTTACATTTTACAAAAGTAAGAAAAGTTAAGAAAGTTCCAGAGTAGCTTGTTTCTAATTTTTTTCTGGCTAATACAAAAAATATTTTAAAATTCATTAAAAATCTTTTGTATACTTCTAACCCATACAGCTCTTTGGAAGCAGATTTTAGTAGCCCATTTTAACCTAATTCAGGATAGTTTCTAAGTCTATCAGATGTCGAAATCTAACTGGCTGCTCAAGCCAGTCCCTTAGTCAGTATGGGTGAGCAGGCTATACCCTGTGAAAGCAAAAGAATTAACTGAGAATTTAACTGACTGATATATTTATACTTACGTGTAAGCAGACCAAGGGAGTAAGTAATGACTGAAACAAGTTTGTGATAATTGTAACTTATTCACAGTTAGTCAAGTGCAGAATATGAAGATTATAAAAAAAACCCACAACAACCATTATAATAGAGAGTATCTGAATAATGAAATTGAAAATGAGGTTAAAAGTGCACATAAATACATATATGTAGTTTATAAAATAGTGGCCTTGGACCTGATTATTATGCTGTCTAATGGCATCAACTCACTGCTTAATACATGTAAAAAAAAAAAGCAAATAAAATATTAGAAATAAATAGGAGAACAATAGAAAAGGAAAAGCTTCATTATACCTTTTGTCAAAATCCCATGTTCACCCATGGTTTGAATAACGTTTTTGACTTTGGCCTTCAAGTTAAAATTAATATGTAAATAAAAAAGATCAGGAAGGGCATCAAAATTGACCAAATTCATCGAGAAGAATGAATGAATCCAGTCTTAGGAAAAGTTTGAGAGTTTATAAAGGTGTTAAAGAACTATCTCTACAAAGTAAAGAAGATAGACGAGGAATGGCCGTGCTCCCTGTCTTCAAGTACAAGAACTAGGAACAAAGAAAACTAGTCAGAAGCACAAGACAAGCAAGAGGAATTGTTTCTTTGTGAAAAGTATTAAATGGTGGAATTTTTACAAGATGATCACATGATTGCAAGAAGTTTATATTAGATCAAGGACAGGGGAAGCATTTAGAAAAAATATCCATTGTGGAATGGGGCAAACCACACCAGGCTCAGGAAATACACCAGACTGAAAACTGTTGGAGTCAGGGAGAGTGTAAGCGGGGGAAGTATCGTATATTTCCCATGTCCTTACTGAGGCTCACTAATGTTTGCAGCTGTTCTTGAATAAAGGATACGAGGCCAAACGGACCTCTGGACTGAGGTAGTTCTAGACACTCTTAAATTCCTAATACAGTAACAGTGATAGAACATTCATATAATATATATGTTTAAAATATGAAATTTGAAACATTCATGTAAAAGATGGCAAGAAGCTGATACTGAATATAAATTCCTGTCAAAATAAGAAGCATGTAGAAAGGCAAAAGAGTCCATTATAAATGGCTAACAGATGTAAAAATAATGAAATTTTAAAAATAAATAATCATTATAAGATGTAGTTTTTAGCTATAACCAAGATAACTTCTGCCAATGTAATCTTATTTCAACGCAATGGAATGTGGTTTTAATGTGATCCTTTCCAATTTGTCCTTGCATTTTACATGTTGAATTTGTATTTGAAATCAGTAAAATCTTATTGATTCAATTTCTTTCTCTAATTTAGGTATTTTTTGAATTACATGTAGGAGATATAAAAAACTACAGTGTATTTGGAATGAAGCAGAAAGGCATGTCCATTCCCCTTCATAAAAGTACTTGGAACTAGACCACATGTGGCTGCTTGCTTAAAGAGATCCTCAGTAAGACCAATGCTGGGCGGAGGCAGAAGAATGTATTTACTGCATTGACTAATTGACTGCAGAGAATCAGGACTGATACTGGAATGTTGCGTCCATGTGCTGAGGTAGATTTGGAATCACTGTATTCCCCTTCTCTATTCCCCAGAATTCAAGGAAGGACAACATAAATTATCCTGGGGATTGGAAAAACAAGCTGTTTGAGTGCCAACTACTCATTCAACTGTGAAAAGGAAGTAGCTTTAGTATTATGTAGAGACATTTTAATAACGGAGAGATATCAGAAGTCTTGGACCTGATAACAGTCCTGAAGACAGTTAAATGCAGATAAGATTTTATCTGGAGGTGACATGGCTGAGATCAGATACCTTTACATACTACGGAGAGCAGACATCTTAAATGCAGTCTTATTTTGTCTTGCTCAGCTCAGCATCAAAGTAGTTCTGTATGAGACCTGCATTTTCTTCCACACATGTGAAAGGACTTGAGCAATTTTTAGATCTTTTCTGCAGAGAAAGACTGTAGATTCTCCTTGTTCTCTGCCTGACTGCTTTACAATCCTCAGACTTTGGGGCTCAAACTCAAGGGCTTTGGAATGCAAAATGCATTGTGAGAGAAAAGGGCAAGCAAGCTGCAAGCAGGGTGTACATCTGTATGAGAAAGACATGCTCTCATCTGTTGAAGGGAAGAGTTGCAACATCCTGATATTTTCCCCATTTCTACAGCGATCTTTTTTTCCTGTTGTCCTTCAGATGTTTTAGGTGTGCCTTCTACATGTGCACACTGTGAGTTGCAGGGTACAGAAAATGAGACTTTCTTCTGCTGAAGTAGCTTCCCTTGACTTGCTCTTTTACCACATACCTAACTTCCCCAGAGTATCTAGCCTTTAAAATGTCCAACTTGCTTTTCTTGTCAGTGCATACGCTTTGCTTTCATTTGTTTATAATCTTTGCTGACTGCAAGGCCCGAGAGAACTGGAGGAATAACATGCTGAAAGGCCTTCTCTACATAGACTGTTGTTGGGTCTTTCAGCACATAAATAATTAACTTCCTCCTTTGAAATTCTAGTGATTATGTAGGAGTTAAGCAAGGTGTAATGCATGATGAAGGGCTTTTACAGAGATGAGCAATGTCTGTGATGTTCAAGAGTTACAGTTTCTTAGGGTGTATTCAGTGAACCCAGCAGACTTGGGGCAACTGTAGGATTTGGAAAGGAACAGAAGTTAAGAAACTCCTCTTCAAAGTGACTGTTGTGCCCAGACTCACCGCTGATTGGTAACTGTGGATTTTTGTCCTGAGATCACTTTTGCTTTTTACTTTGCAATTGACTTTTAGTGTATTCACATACTTGTTCTGCTTGCTGAACAGGCAGGTGAGCTGGAATTTAGTTATGCCTTTTTGCTGCAAGTGGGAAAGTTGTTTTTATTAACCAGTATTGATGGAATTCCAGTGGATGTGTGTTGATTGTAATATATTGTTTATCATTTACATTCTGCTGCAAAGAATGATAGATTCAGTAGGGGTTTGCCTACACTTGCCTGGAGTTAGGGATGGAAAAAAACAAAATTTATAAAAATGAAACACTGGGTATTTTGTACATAGAAAGGAGGCTGGTGTCT